TGAAGCCCGAGCCCTGGTCCACGACCACCGCCACGTGGCCCACGGAGAGCGGACCGCGGACCTGGCAGCCGCGGCTGTGTTTCCGGTGCCTTGGCTTGGGCGCCCCTGAGCCTCGGTCTCTCCTGTGGGTTTTGTAACCCACCAGGCTGAATCTAGGCTCCGCCTCCTGCCGCTGAGGCTCCGCCTCTTGGGACCAAAGTGGCTCCATGTGTGCCCGCGACTCCGCCCCGGGCCTGCGGCCCCGCCCCCGGGCCTGCGCCTGACTTCGTTCTCCCCAGCTCTGGCTCCAGGCCCCGCCCTCTCAGGGCTCACCGCTGCCGTGTGGCTCCGCCCCCGTCCCCCTTCAGCAAGAAGTGGGTGCCAAATCCCAGATCCTGCGAAGCCGTCCGGAGGAGCGGAGCTGTGGGGCCTTTGGGTAAGGCCATCTGGACCTATATCCGTCTTTGGGGGACCCAAGAGTCTGGCCCTGTCTACAGGCAGTCTCCTGGGCTGGGCAGAAGAGGTTCCTGGATGTGAATGGAGCAGAGAGGATGGTCAGAGAAGGGACAGAAGAACGTGGATTGAACCCATTGTGACCTCAGCACTGGCTGAGCTGCCGCAGCCCTTCCCCCCTCCCCAAGCTTCCTGGACCTTCATCCTCCTTCTTTGCACAGTGCCGATGGCAGCGACTTCGGCACCCATACTTTGGCCTTAGCCGTCTAGCACCACCAGTTCTTGCCCCAAACACAGGGAGAAACTGATTGATAGACTCTGGCCAAGTGTGTGACATTTCCGATCTAATAACAGAGAAGCTCTTTAGACCCAGGGGGCCTGCCCAAATGTGTGCTTCCATTCTGAAGCCCGCTGTGAAACCCTGAGCAAGGCTGCACCCTAAGGCCCTGCACTGTTTCTTCTTCTAAAAGGTAGTAAGAATTCTCACACATAAAAAGGCCACTTCCGGTCCCTGTGGATATTCTAGAACCATTTGGGTTACAAGTAGAAGACGTGCTTCAATGACCTTAAGCCACAACAAGGACCTACTTACAAGGATCTTGTCTTATGGATCACAAGGGCAAGCATGAAATCAAGTCTCAGGAACAGGGTCTGACTGTAGGGTTTAGGACACCGGGCTGTGCACAGTTCTTGTATCGTCGTTTTATTCTGAAGACTGGTGTTAGCTAGGATGTGTTCATGTAGAAAACATGGTCTCTGAAGTTAAGTTCTACAGAAGAAACTGATAGGGACAGCTCCCGCCAGGGAGCATGGTTCCCCATCTCTATGTGGGTGGTGGAGCTGTCAGCTTTCACAAGAGACAGGTATGGTGCTGTAGGTCATGTTCACCAGCAGGAAGCAGGCTGGCACACCTTCAGCAGAAGCTAGACTATGATTTTAGGCAGAAGACCTTCATCCTTCTACATCTGCAGTGTTCTGAGGTTGGTCACCAGTGTGTGGCTAGAAAGCAGACTGCATTTTTTTTTTGGTGTTTTTTTTGTTTTGGATATTTTCCTTCTCCATATATTTCTTCTTCTTCTTCTTCTCTCTCTCTCTCTCTCTCTCTCTCTCTCTCTCAGTCATGGGGCTTGAACTCAGAGTCTGGGCTCTGTGCCTGAACTTCTTCACTCAAGGCTAGCATCCTAGCACCTGGAGCCACAGTACCACTTAAGGTTTTGTAGTGGTTAATTGGAGATGAGTCTGACAGACTTTCCTGCCCTGGCTGGCTTTGAATCATGATCCTCAGATCTCAACCTCCTAGGTAGCTAGGATTACAGACATGAGTCACTAGCACCTGGCTCTCTTACATTTTTCTTTTTTCTTTTTTTTTGTCGTTGGTTATGGGGCTTGAGCTCTGGGCCTGGGCACTGTCCCTCAGCACTTCAGCTCAAGGTGAGCGCTCTACCACTTGAGCCACAGCTCCACTTCTGGTTTTCCAGTGGTTTATTGGAGATAAGAGTCTCACAGGTTTGAACCGAGATCCTCAGATCTCAGCCTCATGAGTAGGTAGGATTACAGGCGTGAGCCACTGGCACCTGGCTATTTATTTATTTTTTGCTGGCCATGGGACCTGAACTCTGGGCCTGGGTGCTGTCCCTCAGCTCTTCAGCTCAAGGCTAGCACTCTACCACTGGAACCACAGCACCACTTCCAGCTTTTTCTGCTTATGTGGTGCTGAGGAATTGAACTCAGGGCCTCATGCATATGAGGCAAGCACTCTACCACTGAGCCACCTTCCCAGCCCCTCTTTGTATTTTTCTACACTTTTTTTTCCCCTTCCTTTCAGCATACAGGGCCCTGTACGTGCAAGCTAGGAATCATGCTACTACTGACCTACATCCTCAACCCACTGATTTGGGCATTATCTGGTTCTTCCAGACTCTTGGTGTCTTGAACAAAGATCTGGGTGAAACACAGGAGTTATTTGAAGCCAAAAGATTCAGTAAAGTAAGAGTAAGGTGAAAGTACTCTTGGAATTTGGGAGAGGGCCTACACTTGAACAGAAAGTGCCAAGGAATGGGGTGGTGGTGTCTGGGATGATTTGGGGCTGGTTTGGGTTGAGGGTTGGATGGCACCTCCTACAGGAGGAGCCCTCCCCTGATGGACAGTTTTCAATGGTGGATTGTGATTACATAACAATTTTTCTACTGTACATGCCCACGTGTTCTGTTATATTAGTATGCAGAGCATAACGATGAAGCCTTAATTAGGGATTTTCCCCTCCAAAAGATTACTTAAGGTTCACCAAGCACAGTGCTGTGCATGTACCTTTTAAGGGGGCTTTCCATTCTGGGCAGATGATCATCAGGATGTTTAGACAGCACAATCACCCTCCTAAGAAGAGGGTCAATTGGATCTATGGTTGGACCTTCAGCAATAGGGGTGTTCCTGGGTTTGGCTTTAGGAAATAAGTCTTTGCCTCCATCATTCTGACCATACTTTCCTGTATCAGCTCTATGTTGTGCAGGCTGGCTGGTGATCCTCCTCCTGCCCTCAACCTCTTTTTTTTTTTATTTTAAATTTTTTGTCAGTCATGGGGCTTGAACTCTGGGCCTGGGTGCTGTCCCTTAGCTCGTTAGCTCAAGGCAAACACTCTACCCCTTGAGCCACAGCACCATTTCCAGTTTTCTGGTGGTTAATTGGAGATAAGAGTCTCATGGACTCATGAACTTTCCTGCTCCGGCTGGCTTTGAACCGGGATCCTCAGATCTCAGCCTCCTGAGTAGCTAGGATTACAGGCCTGAACAACCGGCACCCAGCTGTCCTGACCTCTTAAGTGCTGGGATTATAGAGATGTGCCACAGTGCCCAGCTAAGGCAACATGTTGGGCAAGGCTTGAGTCAGGGTGGCTCTAGGGTTTTTGGAACTTGGTCTGGGACTCAGAGAGTGAGTAGCAGCAGCTGGCTCCTACCAGAGCATGCTGGGCCTCCCTGAGCAATGTCTAGAGTGAGCCTCATACTGGGGGCCACAAGTGCCAATGTAGTGGGGGTAGGGGTGAGAGGAGCTGGGCCTGCACCCCTAATTACAGGTTTGGGCTTTTCTCAGAGGGCGATGGAGAATGGTGAGAGTCATGAGCAGGAGACACACCTGCCCTAGACAGGATTAGTTTGGAAGAAGCCTTTGGCTAAATGGAGAAAGGGAATGGGTAGATTGGGATACCTCATCAAGTGCTTACTCTGAGAGGCTCCCACATCCTTGGGAGTTAACAAGCACAGTAGGGTAGGAGTGAGGGCCCAGAGGCCAGGGACCCCCAGTTCCATTTCTTCGGCCGAATTTGAGGCTCAGACTCACCCCAGCCCACAGTGGGGCCCTCCATCTAAGGGATTTCTCCTTTCACCCTAGTTGTTTTGGTGCTGAACTGGGGCTTGAACTCTGGGTCTGGGTACTGTCCTTCAGCTCTTCAGCTCAAGGCCTGCACTCTACCACTTGAGCCACAGCATCACTTCCAGTTTTCTGGTGGTTTATTGGAGATAAGAGTCTCATGGACTTTCCTGCCCAGGCTGGCTTTGAACTGAGATCCTCAGATCTCAGCCTCCTGAGTAGCTAGGATTACAGGTGTGAGCCACAGATGCCTGGCCCTTAACTTGCTTTGCTCAAGGCTTGGCACACTACCACTGGAGCCATGCCATGGCTCCACTTCTGACTTTTTGTTGGTTAATTGGAGAGAAGCTTCTCACTGACTTTCCTGCCTGGGCTGGCTTTGAAACCTCCATTCTCCTAGCTCAGCCTCCTATGAGTACTAGGGTGACAGTGTCCAGCTTGCCAAAGGGAGTTCTGAATGTTGGTCACTCTTGAGGATGGCAGTCCTCTGCTGGAAACAAGTTTTTCCTCCTAGCATGGCCCAGCCCGTGTGGGTCCTAAGTCCATCTCCTTTGTGCCTACAGATCTGACAGAATCTGAACTGGGTCTGGGGTGCTGTGGGATGGGGGAAGACGTGAATCGGGCCGGGGTGTTGGGGGGGGGGAGGGGACTGGGTAGATGGGAGCCGGGCCTGCGGTGTTGGGGGTGGGGGAACTGCGTAGATGTGAGCTGGGTCTGGGGTGCTGGAGGACCGGTCCTGGGGTGTGTGTGGGGGACTGGGTAGATGTGGACCGGTCTTGGGGTGTCGGGGGTGGGGGAACTGGGTAGATGCGAGCCGGGCCTGGGGTGTCGGAACTGGGTAGATGTGAGCGGGGCCTGGGGTGTGTGTGTGGGGGGGGGAACTGGGTAGATGCGAGCCGGGCCTGGGGTGTCGGAACTGGGTAGATGCGAGCCGGGCCTGGGGTGTCGGGGGGTGGGGAACTGGGTAGATGGGAGCCGGGCTGGGTGCTGGAGGACCGGATCTGGGGTGGGGGGGAGGTACCGTCCGCAGGCCGCGGCGGTGGCCCTGCTTGTGATATATTATACTGCGCCTCCCCGCCCGCGACCCCCGACCTTCGGCTGCGCCCCCCGGGCGCCCGCGACGCCCCGCGGGGAACTGGGGAGGCCGGCGGGCTTGCTATGCACTCTTTATTGGGCCGAGTCCTGGGACTGCGGGCCGCGCCGGGCCTTCAGGGCCGAGGGCGAGGGCAGCGGCGCCGCTTGCGGGGCTGCTCTTCGCGGGGGTCGCCCTCGCGGTCCGCCTCGCTCTCGGTCAGCAGGCGCGCGTACAGCCGCTGCCAGTCCTGCACCGCCTTGGCGCCGGAGCCGGGCGCGGAGCCCGAGCCGGAGCCCGGGCCGGACCCCGCTCCGGGCGCGCCCGCCGCGCGGCGCCCCTCCTCCTGCAGCCGGGCGTCCAGCAGCAGCAGCAGCACCAGGATCTTCTTCATCTCGCGCGCGCGCGCGCACTCGCGCCGCTCGCCGCCGTCGCCCGCGCCTCGCAGCATGGGCGCCGTCAACCGGGAGCCCTCGGGGGTGCGGGGCGCGTCCTCACCCGGCCGCCCGGGCCGCGCGCATGCGCCCGCCGCCGCTGCCGCCGCCGCCGCCGCCGCCGCCGCCTCGGCCAGCTGCTGCCGCTTGTCCAGGGGGAAAAGTAGCACGATCTTGGTCTGGGAGTGGGGCGTCGGGAACAGCGCGCCTGGGGCCGGGCGCGCGACCGAGGCCGCCCGACGCCCCACCCAGACCCGCAGCCTCCCGGGGCCTCCCAGGCTCAGCCCCTCTGTTCCCTGGACCCCACTCATCTCTCCCCCACATCAGGCCCCAAGAAAGCCCATCTTTCCCTGCCGGAGGCCAGCGGCCTCACCTGGGGCTCGCCCTCCCCGCCAGGCTGGCCTGATCCATCCCGCGAGGGGATGATCCCTGCCTGCCCTCCCGGCTTCATGCCCGGGCTCTCGCCCACCCGGGCTCCGCCCAGAGCCTCTCCCCATTGGAAGAGAGGCAGACTGTTTTGAGGCTGAAGGCTGGAGAGCTGCTTGGGAAATGAATTCCTTCCCAGCAGAACCTTCGAGGGCTATGTTCCTATGCCTGGCCTCCGCCCACTGGTCCAGGGTAAGGAGGACCCCCTCGTGGACCCCCTTTTTAGAGCCCATACCCACCGGCCTCCTACCCGAGAGGGATCCCTTAACCTTTCTTATGCCCACAGGCCTGCACTCTAAGCACCCTTCCCGTCCCCCATGCCCAGGGACCCTTGCCAGCCGGCCCCCACCTGTCCCCCACTTGCCCTCACTCACACTTGGCTTCTTCCTCTTGAGGTGGCTGAAGAATTGCTGTTTACTGCGGCCCTTGTCCATGTCAGGCGGCTTCTCCTTGCCGGCCTGCTGCGGTGCCTTGGTCCTCTTGTGGGAACTGCTGTTTCCCATGGTGGGGGCTGGTCACCAGTGGGGGCCACAGCCCATGCTGCCTCTCCCCTGCCCTCTAGCCAAGGGGCCTGACTCAGCCCTGCCCCACCTGTGGAGGTTGTATTGTGACCTCATGGGTCAGACTCAGCAGCTCTAGGCTCAGAGCTCTTCTTCCCAGCACCCCCAGAGGATTCAGTTCTACATGATGCCAGACTTTTCCTGGCCTTAGTTTCCCAGCTGTGAAATCAGGCCCAGTGATCATAATGAAGCTGGGTTTATGAGGTGCTTTCTGGTGAGGAGGGAGGGGTAGCTTGGGTTTGAATTCTGGTCCTGACACTTGAATTCAGGGTACTATTCCTTTTTTTGCTCAAGGATGATGCTTTGCCACCTGAGCCATGGCTCCACTTCTGGTGTTTTGGTGGTTTATTGGAGATCAGACTCTCACAGACTGTCCTGCTCAGGCTGGCTCCTCCAATCTCAGACTCCAAGTAGGGTCATAGGCATGAGCTACTGGCACCTGGTTAGACTCCAGGTTTGACGGTTCTGGGATGAAGAACTTATGTACAAGCACTGGACAGACTCCTAGGTAGCGGCCCCTGGACTGCTCAGTGTTATCATTCCTGTTTTATAGATGAAGAAACTTGTTGGGGAATCAGAATCCCAAGATATGCATCATAGGTCCTGTACATGGTCTGCTTCCCTATCTCTGCCCACCTGGGAAAGGGTATGGAGGGGATGTGTAGGGCACTGTGGTATGTATGTATACACACACACTGTGGACAGTGACCTGGTTGTCTTATATCTGTACTTCCTAGCAACAACCCACAGTAAATGTTAGTTGAGTACATGGATGGATGGATGCATGCATGATTGGATGGATGGTTGGATGAGTGAATGGATGATGGGTGGATGGATGATGGATGAATGAGTGAATGGATGGATGGGTAGATGGGTGAATGGCTGGCTGGCTGGATGGTTGGATGACTGGGTGGATGGGTGAATGGATAGCTAGATGAGTGGGTGGGTGGGTGGATGGATGGGTGAGAGTGTGGATGGACAGGTGAGTGAGTGAGTAGAAAGAATGAATGGAAGGATGGACAGGTAGATGGATGGAATGGGATGGATGGGTGAGTGGATGCATATGTAGATGTGGCTTGTTGCCATATCATATATCATCTTGCCTTGGGTCAGAATGGCCCTTGGATGGCCTGGGACCTCCACACTAGCCCACCCCTCCTTGCCATGCCTGGCTGCCATGGATTTGAGGTCCAGACAAGCCGAGCGTCCTAGTGGGCACATGATTCTGAGTAGGTCGCATCTTCTGGGAATAGAGGTGAGGTCTAGAGCAGGGGCTTAGGCCTCCATGCTTCTGCTGTGCCACATGCGTTTGCTCTGTTCTTTATACGTCTCGTGTTGTTCTGATAGGCACAGGGGAGCCCACCGGATGGGTGGCTCTCTGAAATGGGTGTTCAGGGTCAGGAGATGCTGACCCTGCCTCCTCTGTCCCCAGGAATATGAGCAAGCCTCCAAAGTGGACCAGTTTGTCACTCGCTTCCTGCTTCGGGAGACAGTGAGCCAGCTACAGGCCCTGCAGAGCTCGCTGGAGGGGGCGTCGGACACTCTGGAGGCCCAGGCTCGTGGCCTGCGGTATGTGAGGGCCCTGCCAGCCTGCAGGGCCAGTGTGCAATGCCCTTTGTCCTTGCATGCCCTTCATGACATCACTTTCTGCATCCTCGCATCCTAGAGGCCACTTTCTTGGGCAGGGCAGTCATGTGGGATAGCTGGCTTTGGGGCTGGGCCTGAAAGCTCCAAGAGGCCTATTTGTCTCACCTGGGCCTGGTCCTGTGCTAGGACCTCTGTCTTTGGTCCTGTGGGTCTGGGAGCAGCAGGCTGACCCTCCACCTCCTCTAGGTTGGATGAAGAGAATGTGGAAGTTCAGAGCAGGCCCCATGGGGGCCGGCGGACAGGACGCAGGTCCCTGAGGAGCGTCATTAGGTCACCAACCTGGTCTCCTGGCTGCTCTGACATAGGTGTGCCTGTGGCAGGGTGGGGGCCTGGCTTCACAGGGTCCAGGACAGGTATGGAACACCCCCCCCCCCCATTCCCTTAGGCCTGTTCTATTGCTCCCAGTTCATCCTGAGAGGCTGCTCAGCTTCGGAGGTCATTGGCTGATGGCCTCTGGGCCTCCCACCCCAGGACAGAGCTCAGAGGCTGAGTTGCAGTGGCGGCTGCAGGTCAACCGTCTCCAGGAGCTCATAGATCAGCTTGAGTGCAAGGTGAGGGGCTGGTGGCCCATGGCTCTTGGGGCAGGCCCTGCCTGGCATCCACCCCTGCCGGGTAATGCTGGGAGCTGGGCCCCCTACTCTGTGTCCCTCCCAGGCTCCCCGGCTGGAACCCCTGCACGAAGAGGACCTCACCAAGGGCCCTGACTCGGTGAGCCCGGGGAGCAGCAGGTCTCTAGCTGTCAGGTCAGAATGAGGGATTCCTGTGACCAGCTGTCCCTTTGTCCTGGCAGGCAGGGTCTGGGTTCTGGTGCTTGCTCTGTGACCCTGTGGAAGTCCCCTCTCAGGGCACCTAGTTCCTGTATTGGTATTTCCAACAGCCAGGTCTGGTGCAGGGGATGCAGACTGGATTAGAGCAGCAGGGAGTGGTGGTAGCTGTGGAAGAGAGGGGCGCTGGCTGCATTTAGGCAGTGACCTTGCAGATGGAGTCTGCTTGTTAGTGGCAAAGCCCCTACCTCAGACCCAGCCCAAATCAGGAAGGACAGAGTCCTTGCCCTGCCTGGCCCGCCCCATGACTGGCAGCTCTCTTGGCAGCACATCCTTGTGGCCCAGAGACAGGTGCAGGTGGCCGAGGAGGCCCTACAGGACTTCCGCCGGGCCCTGTGCTGCTACGTGGACGTCACAGGGGCCCAGAGCCAGTGTCTGCAGTGAGTTTGATAGGCTATGCTTGCCATGGGGAGGTGGACGCCCGAGGGGAGGGGGCAGGGCTCCCATGGGATCCCAGCAGCTGGGCAGCCATGGTCCCAGCAGTGGTCTGGCCGTGTCTTTGGCCCTGCAGTGTGTCTGCCCAGAAGATGGTAGAGCACGGCTCCTTCACCTTGTATGAGCTCTGGCAGGATGAGGCCTCCTGGAGAAGGTGAGTCAGTGTAACAGCCAGCTGTGTGTCAGGCCCAGGGCCATGTGTTACCTGTCCTATCTGGGTGCCAGTGTCCTCCTTTGCAAAGCAGGAGTGATGACAGTCCAGCCCCCTCCCTCCCCTCCGGGCTGCATGAGCTGTGCGAAGTGAGCGCAGGCACACAGCAGGCATTCAGCAAGTGAGTGCCAGTGCCTTCGTTCAATCCTCACAGCGCCCTGGTCAAGTGGACCCCGTCCACGTCCCTCATTTCACAGAGGGCGACATGGAGGCTAGACCTGGGATCTGAAGCCAGGCCACAGGCCTGGGGTGGGATGGGAGACCGTGATCTCAGAGCCCATGGCTGCAGCCTTGACCCCGCCGCGGCCTCCCCAGGCACCAGCAGTCGCCCTGCAGCAAGGCCTTCCAGCGCATGCTCATCGACCACCTGCGGGCCCCCGACACCCTCACCACCATGTTCTTCCCAGGTATGCTGGGGACCCCACTCCTCCCGACAGCCCTGGCACCCGGGAGGGACAGGAGACCCCTGTGGCTCTTGACACCCCCCCCAACCTCTGACCCACAGCCTCCTGGTGGATTATGAATAATGACTGAGCCTGACCTGCTTAAACCAAGGACCCTGAGGCCCTGCCTGTCTCCTTCTAGAGCCTTCTGCACGGGGTCAACTCGGCATTGAGACCAAGGACCTTGTCTCCCTCCATACCCGGGGCCAGGCCAGAGCCAGTGGAGGGGAGAGCCAGCCCAGGGGTCAGGAAGCGGGCACTTGCTTTCTGTTAGTGTATTTATCCATGTATTTTTATTGTTTGTAGCTTCCGAGGTACCTGGACTTGCACTTGACTCAAGAGGCCTGGATCTGGGCCCGTCTGCCCTTGCCTTGCTGTGTGCCGCAGGCAGGTCCCTTTCTTCTCTGGCAGCCTAGTAGAGCCCTGGTTTCTTCTTGCTGTCTCGGGGGGCCAGGCTGCTCCCCAACCAGTGAGAGAATCAAGGCTGATGCTCAGGGACTTCCCCCTCCCCCAACCCCTTGAACCTCAACCCTTGAGACCGGACCAGATCTATCTACAATGTGGGGTAAGGACCTGGGTGTCCCCATCACTCTACCAAGCTGGTTCTAGACTCTTCCAGCAACCATGGCTGCACCAGAGACCTCTGGAGAATCCTGGGTTGATTTGCATGTCATTTGCATACCATTTGCACGCACACACCCCACTCATTCTCCAAGCACTGTGGGAAGCCCTAAGTTGACCTTGAAAAGTAGCAATAATTTGGGCCTAGAGTTGCCTGCTGCCCCTCAGAGCCCTGGAACCCCAGCCCCAGAGCCCAGCACGGAGGCAATAAAAGGCATTGGTCATCTCGGTGGCGCCTCATCATTCTCCCTGCACCCCTGGCCTCCCTAACTGGAAATGCAGTATGGAAAGAGTCAGTCTGTCTGAGGCTCCCCACATTGCAGGGAGGAGACATCAGCTGAGCTGAGGCAGTTTCCTCAGTCCGGGGCTCAGAATCCCAGGGACCCTGTGCCAGGGTCGCAACATGACCCAGACTGCAGGTGGTGGGGACTCCAGCCTCACCAACACACTCTCGGGGGTGCAGAGAGCTTGGCTGGATTCCTATGGAGAAACCCCTCCCTGTACAGAAGCTGCCCCATGAGGATGGGCCTGAACGCCACTGCTGCTTGACGTGGAGTGGAGCAGATGCAGGATGGCGGCTGGGTCACCTCCACCAGCCCTGGCCAGGGGATCAACAGGGAACTGCAGAGGACACGTCTGACCTGCGGAGGGAGAGGGGAGGAGAGAGTGTGGGAGGCCGGAGGGGAGCTGCAGACCAGGCTCAGAAAGGAAGGTCAGAGGGTCAGAGGAGGAGGTGCGCAGGGGCGGCGCCCTGCAGAAGTGCTGACAGAAGACTGGAGGCCCAGTACAGGAGGACCCAGGAGTCAGGATGGAGGCTCTCCAATGTCAGAGCAGACTCACAAGCCTATCTTCATCTCTGTCTTGCCAACCACGTTGTAACACACACACATACTATACATACTACACACTATACATACACCACACTACACACACCACACATTGCCACGCATTGCATACCACACACTACACACACCACATAGCACATACATACATTGTGCATTACATATACTACACACCACACACCACACACTA